ACTTTGGGGAGAGGAATTAATTGAGGGCTGAGACGACACCCATCTCGCCCCTTCAAAGCACCGACAACACCTCAGCCTCCCCCTCCACTCTGCAGGGGGGGGGGGGGGGGGGGCACCTTTGAGGAGAGCACCTTCCCCTTCACTCCCAGTTTCTCTCACAGAGCAGGAGGAGTTCAGCACTTATCCCTCCTCAGGTTCATGTTGGAGAGACACACAACATGTCGAAGGAGAAGCCTGCTGCAGGGCGACCTATTTTTCAGGTCAGAGCGGCCACACAGTCGCAGTGTCCTCCATGGAGGATCTGATCACACACTAGATGACGGTGCGTTTGTTGCATCTCCTGCCTGCTCTTCAGTTGGAGCCTAGTCACAGTGCCCGCTCATCTCAGAAAGGCTGCACACCCGACTCAGTATTCTGAGTGTTTTCAGTTGCAGTTTTGTTCACCGATGGCCTAGAATTACTTAGAATCTCTGGGTTGTAAAAGTTGCTAGGCTTGCTCCATTAAAATATATTTACAAGCTTTGTTTAGTTCAGAACTGTCAGAGACAAACAAGCGGTTTCTTCTGCCAAAGGTTGTCCATCATTTCAGCAGCCAAGGATTAATGTTTGTTTTCTCAGTTTCATTGAAACATGATTTTGTCATGCTGTAGGTCTACTCCTTCTAGTTAAAAGGTTTTGCTACTATAGGTTGTTGACGAGAGCAACAAGATATCAACAAAGACATATTTAAAAAAAACAAACACCTAATACAGTTTTTTTTTTTTTAATTAAGTCATGTTGATTGTTTGTAAATGTCATTTGGCATGAGATGTCAGTGTGAATTTCTGTTGGGAATAAGTGGGACACATGCTGATTTTGTGGAACAGTATACAGCATAAAAGAGTACACCTCACTTAAACCTGTCAAATGCAGTGATTTCTCTTGGATAAAACCTATTTTGGGAATATGATGGAATGTTCAATTCTTTATCAGTGACAGATGAAATGTGAATAGTGAACAGGAAAATGATTTTAGAAATGCTAAAAGGCCGTGTTGCAAAAAAGTCAGGGGGCTCACAACATGACAATGACCATATGCATCCTTAAGTGAGAGCCAAGGTGGAAGTGCTGCTGTTGTCCAACCTCAACCCTGCGGTGAATTTTGATTAAGTTGAGCAGCACTCCTCATCAAACATCAGACACCAGAGGATTTCATCTTCTGGGAGGGGAGCAGGAGAGATGGGGTGACATGTTGCAAACTTGTACACTTGATGCTGAGAAACATTTCTGTACTTAAAAGTATCAGAGGACATACCAAGTGCCAGAATATGACTTACTTGATGGATTGAAAAAAAAGAGCATCATCAATGTAACACAAACAATGTGGCCTAGTTGACGTATTCTGCTGATATTGATCACACATTTATCTGATTTGGCTTCTTTATATTTTATTTTTTTCATGAGAAACATTTTTCTTTTTTTATGGTCAGAGGGGGTGATCTCATTTATGCTGTGTACTGTATATTCCAGTTAATTAATGGTGTCAGGGTTTGTGCGTGGCTCTAGCACTCGTCCTCTGCTGCAGTCAGGGGTTCAGTCTTGCTTGCGTGAGGCTTCTCTGACCATTTTTAAAACGGGACATAGATCCATCCCAGCTCATCACATCCTATGATGTAAAGATGTGGATTCTCAGCAACATGCACAACACTAAGCTTTCATGTGTTTTACATTGTTTTGAGTTATTCTGTTTTTCTTTTGTCATAACCTTTGTCACAAGCAAAGTAAATGATAAAATGGTTGAACATATTGTTGTCTGTATTCTTTTTTTTTTGTTTTGTTCCATCAGTGGTTAAAAGAAAGTGGAAGTTAATTATGTTCTTTGTCCTTTTTAGTGCAGCTGTTACACAACAGCCCCTGCAGCCACAAGATGCAATGCTAACTATGTCGGGAAGACATTCTGTGGTGGAGGCTGTGCTGTGAACTTTCTAATGTCCTGCTCATTTATCAGTGTCAGCTGCACTCTGCCTTTTGCTGACTATTAGGCAACAAATGTGAGCACAGTAAATCACAAGCATGAGTAGTTAGGGGAGCATCCTGTGTCCCATATGCTGTACACAGTAATGAGGTGACCCAGCTTCAGGGAAATAATACAGAGATGAAGTTGAGGCTGAATGAGCCCGTGGACTAAGAATAAGACGTCTCTTGCTAAGAAAATAGTTATAATGTCTGTCAAAATAATGCTTATGTTAATTTACATCCATTCTGCAGAAGAAGAAAAAAAATGCAAATATTGTTGTTATGGTAGACAGTTGTTTTACTTGAACCCTGCAGATCATCATAAATCCCATTTAAATCTGGTTCTCAAACGCCACAGTGAACATGCCAATAAACAGTGTTGCGTTCACTGACCAATGTTTTTTGTTAATTGAATTATAAATTCAAATTATAAATATGTGGCAGTGTTAATAGTATTGTTTAGTTCTACTCAGAATGGAGCACACAATGTAGACAGCTATATAACTTAAATATGGACATGAAGATAAATTAAATAAAGTTATATTAAACTGAAAAGAAAAAGGAAATATACCAAGGGGCTTCTCATAATTCTACTCCATTAATATAGCTTGTTTTTCTTATGCTTATTTCAGTGACTTTATTTGCCAATGTACAAAACAGAATATGTAGAATATCAGCTATGAATAGACAATGCAGTCAAGATCAGTCAAATAAATTATGAATCAAATGATAGTAAATATCAGTCAAATCACATAGAAACAAATAAGTAAAATTAATTATCCAAAAAAGGACTAAATACATGATAAATATGAACAGATCAGTAAAGGTCCCAAAGGTCCAGGGTCACCAAAAATAATTCATAATAAATGTGTGCTCACTTTTTTCGAGTCAATGTCTCCATGAATAAATTAGATTTAATCATTAAACTTGCCTAGAAAACTCTGCATGTGACATTTACAATGATCATTATAAGATTATTATTGGAAGAAAGGGGCTTGATTGTCATTTAAATTAAGATATGATGGCTTTAGGCTTAATTGTTTCAGAATGATTTGTTGATGATGTTTGTGGTTCGGCTCCATTCAATTCCTGTGTAACATGGGTTAATATCATAATATTCATAAATAATAATGAATTCCTCTCATTTAGTTACAAACACACAATCAACGCAGAATAAAAATTGTTTCTGATTTCGATGTTTTGATTTTTTTTTTTGTTTGTTGGTTTTATTCTGGGCGGTTTCTGCGCGCTTCCGCTCCCGCGCCCCCTGGCTGCTGCTGCCCGCCACTGCAGTCAGCTGGTGTCAGGCCGGGGGCAGCGATGGCGGAGACGGACGATGTCGACGTGATGATGAGCTTCCACAGCGATTTCCTCAAAAGCGACGGGAAGAGCGGCCGCTACCCGCACTGCATAGTGTGGACGCCCATCCCCATCCTGTCGTAAGATGCTAACAGTGTTTTCATGCTAACACGAGATCAGCTGCAGACATGTCGCCCGAGGAAACGAAGCAGACTCGTGCTGTAGCTGCTGGTTAAATCTCCTCCTGTCTGTCTTCATAAGTCCCCGTGTTGTGTGTTCCCTGCATGGATCCACACATGCAGCGTCATCACAGTCATGTATGGATGTGTCTCCTGCAGGTGGGTGCTCCCCTTCATCGGTCACATGGGGATCTGCACCTCCTCTGGAGTCATCCGGGATTTCGCAGGTTCTTACTTTGTGTCGGTGAGTAGCTCAGTGTCGCGTCACATGTGTGGAACAGCGTCTCATGGCTCAAAGACTGAATCTGAGACGTCACACTGCAGGAGCGTTCCAGTACGTTTTGGGAGCCCCCGGCAAAAAGGGGGCCCTACAACGGACCAAACTACTTTAGTATCATTATTATAAAAACAAGGGCATAGTGTACCCACCCCAGGCACTTCTTACACATTTCGATGTTCGAGTCTTAAACAAACTGTTCAAATTAGGATGTTTTTGCCAGAAAACCAGCAGCATGGGGTCTTGTTAAAGGAATAGTTCACCGGTGCGGAGAACACCCGACTCCTCTTACACTCAGCTTTATTTGTACCAGAAGATACACACAAAATGTGCAGTGGGCTGCGTGCTGACAGTTTTAATAAAGTTTCCTGTTCAAAACACATCCTGAGAAAAGATGTTTTCAGTTTATACAGAGACGTCATTTAACCATCGGTTACTCACAGAAAGAAATAACAAAATAGATTTAATTGAAAATAAAACTAAGATGACTAAAATGTTGAAATAATATAATAATGTGAGGAAGATATGTTGAGAAAACCTGGAGATAAAAAAACGATTGTGTTCAATTCACAACCACGAGATTCAAATAACTTTTTTAAAAGTATTTAGTTTTGATTATGTTATGAACTGTAAGTTCAACTAGCTGCTTCTTCACTGGACGGATGTGACACAGAAGGAGTCAGATGATCATGTGATGATTTCCATCAGTTCAATTAAACAGCTGTTCTGTTTTGTATGTTTACGTGTCCACTATAACATCGAGCACTAGTTCATTTACGTACTCCTTTAAATGTTTTTAAGATATGATTTTTTTTTTTCAGGAGGACAACATGGGCTTCGGTAGACCAACAAAGTAAGTTTGCTAATAAGAAATACTGTATTTTAATAGTTTAAAAGTTCTATTACTGTATATTTACCTTATCATATTTGCCTTTGATTAACTTCTTTATTGTATCTATTACTGAGCTTCCCTGCAACGGTTTTTCACAGGATAGTACTTGTAAAAGCGGCGTGACGATAAAATATCTTGAATCTTGGCTCTATTTCAACAAGTAGGTCACATGAATTATATGCATTTACTCTATATCACAGGTACTGGAAGCTTGATGTGGACAAAGTCTGTGGCAATGGAGCTGCTACATGGGACAAAGCAGTGCTAGATGCATCTGAGGAATACAAGTGTCGGCAGGTAAGACAATTTTTAAAGTTTTTTTGATACACATGTTTCCATATTAACATTCTTTAATCAGCTATCTATTTGTTTCCTGTTTTCATTGAAGCACAATCTATGTTTTGACAACTGCCATTCCCACGTTGCTATGGCCCTCAACCTCATGCGCTACGACAACAGCACTTCTTGGAACATGGTGAACCTGTGTGCGCTGTCTCTCATCAATGGGAAACATGTGAGGTAAGTATCCCAGGCTCATTCTGCTATTTGTTCTACCTGTAACAATGTGTTGATAAAATCCTACCCTGCATCTAAGTGAACATCTGCTCCCTCGTCCTCCAGTTCCCAACGTACTTTGCGTTACAGAGCTCAAACATGACACTTGAGTATCTTCTACTATACTTGGCCAATTAATAACCTAGACTGTGGCAGCCTGCCATATTTAATTTGTCCTGCAACTGTTTCATAATGAATCAAAACCCTTTCTTTACACTTCTCATAATAACATTAGAGATGGCTATCTACTGCCATAGATTGAATGAATTCTGTGGGAAACGCTGTTTGCAGTCTTATCTTATCATCTAAATGTTTTACTAGATCCCAACTGTTGGGGAGTTGATGCTGATAACAGTAACAGGGAGTGAAGGATTTCTGATACCTTTATATTAGCTGATAAATGAAAAGAAATTAGCAGTGATTCATAGGTTGATTCATATCAAACCCTTAGGTCAGAGATATTAAATTGATATTTTACAGCTTAACCATAAACATTAATATAAATAACTATAATTCAAAAGAATACAAATAATTGCTCTATACAGAGGTTGAAGTAAGAAAATATTATTTTAATAAACATGTGCATATTTTCAGCATTGTTTTTCTGTAAAATCCACATTTTTAGAAAAGCAAACATTAACACATCGGCCCATTTTTTTATTAAAAATTCGGTCAGGATCAATATTTTATCAAAATAATCTGATAATCGATTTTCTTACATTTACAGCGACAGCTAAATAACATTCATTTGACAGTGCATTTATCCAAAATGACTTCCATCGTGTTTTATATACAGTTTATACAGAGGGGACAGAAGTACAATTCACACTTGAAGTATCAACACCACAACAATGTACACTCTCTGTTAAATCGCTCTGCTGCTCGATGTTAGTGAGCATTAAGAGACATATGGTTCAGTAAGCCCCCCCCCCCTCATTATTCTCCGCTGACCCACATAAAGAACGCCGGCATCAGAGTTTGTGCTGCCTCTGCACAAACACTCCCACAGCACCGGAGTCTTTTTAAACAGGAGGGGAGTCATGTAATTCATCACTGACAGCGGCGCTCCCCTCCGTGTCACCGCTGGAGGTCACCTCTCTGCTGGGGCTCCCTGGGTGAAGGGAGGAGGTGCTGTGGGCCTCATGGGAGCTGAGAGATTGGAGCATGTGATACTTACACACCTCACATGACCTTGTCTGTCCAAAAAAATACAATCACAGGCATTTTTACCCTCACTGCTGCGAACACAATATCCATGTGTTGATGTTTACTCTAATACACTCTTTCTGTCCTTCAGCTGGGCAGCGTTCCTCAAGACCTGGCTCCCCTTCCTCATGCTGTGCGGAGTCCTCACCACCTTCATCCTGACGTTCAACCTCCAGTGATGGAGCGAGCAGTACGATAGGAGGACTCACAGACTTTGGTTAAACTTGTCATTGATGTGCTTTGATGGGATATTTGTAATTGAAGGACTTCTCTGTCTGACATGATCTAGTCTGTTAGAGTGGGATTGAGGGCTAGGCTGGTTGTTTATAATTTTGAAATCAAAAAATGAGTTTATGTATTTATGGATTCAAAAGTTACCGTAACTCTTTTTCACATCGTGGGTCCCTGTTGTTTTTGTTGAGCTATCAAGAGGATTACGAAGGAAAGACTCCACTGTAGTAGAGTAATGCAGCTGAGTTCCAGCTGATGTATTACTTCTTTCATGGATGGCGATGATGAATGTGTTTCCAGTGCGGCTAATGTACATTTCAATGATGAATGGCCACAAAACGGACCATGAAATCTTAAAGCAGAAATGTGTTCATCAATTATTTGTCCAAGAGATATGAGTACAAATATAGAATGATGTAGGAAACATGTGAAAAATAGTAACACTGAAAACGTCCCTCCTCCTCAGTCCACTTTCCTATGACATATAAAATCAAATGCGTGAGGTGTTTTTATTTATTTATTTATTTTTATTTAAGTTGTTGCTTTTCTCCAGACGGTTTTAAAATAAACCATGCACACTGGTGCTGGACCTCTGCTGATTTATTTAACTGTTACCAATACTTTCAAAAATATCATTTCGTTTGTTTAAATGCTGTGTATATTAATACTGTATCTCTATCAGTTTCAAATTTCTGTTCTTCGAACTTTACTCTGAATGTGCTGGAGCCCGTTTTTCCCCTCGTGTCACACGTGTAGGTCACAGGCTGTGGACGCCCTTATCGTCCTCTGTACCTTTAAGGGAACCGCGTACCTTTTTTCATCCAGCAGATTCTGCGTGAGATGAACCACCATCAATTTATGGGAACCTTTACTCCACAGTGGAGCAGATGAGGAAGGGACTGATGCTGGAGCGGGCAGTGTTTGCCGCCTCTGCAGTATTTGATTAGTTAGTGGGAGCTAGAGCTTAGGATCCTATTTTTTGAATTTGCTTCACATGCAAGCTGTCGTTAACATATTTGTGTTCTGTATAATCGGGAATAATTGATTTTTGAGATGTGTACTTTTGCAGTCTGTGCGTTTTTGGGAATTCTGCTTTTTGCACCATACCAGTGCTTGGAGTGTCCCTTTGGCTGCGAGTGTTTTGCTGTCACTCGCACAGTGAAATGCGTTTCTAAGGATCTGCTCTCGGTGCCTCAAAGTATTCCAGGATACACGAGGACTGTCTATATCACAGGGAATAACATTCACCAGATTGCACCTGACTCGTTTACAGAGATGGAGAATGTCACCAACATTGTTTTAAGCAATAATAGGTGAGAATGTCAGTGATCTGTGTGTCTCATTAATGTATATTCATCTGTATTTGGACAATATGAGTTTAACTCTGTTGATGTGCATCTGATCAATAAATGTCTATGTCTGTGATGATGTGGCTTTTATTTGCTTTTACAGCACAGTGACTGGAAGTGAGAGGATGATATTAAATGTTGCACATGTTACAGTGTTAGTCGTCTTCACAGGATCACAGAGATGGAGTCTCACAGCTTCTCTGCCCTCGTCAACCTTCGTTTCCTGGACCTCAGCGGGAACCAGCTGGCTCTCATCCATCCTGAGGCCCTCAGTATCCTCGGCAGTCCCCTTCAGGAGCTGAACCTGAGCCATTCGCTTTACAACTTCACCGCCCTGACGGACCTCACCACGGCCCTGCGCTGGGGTGGCCTCGGGGGTCTCCTCCGCCTCGACCTGTCTGGGAACCACCTCTCCCTGCTGCCCCCGGGAATGTTCTCTCACCTTCCTAACCTGCAGCAGCTCTTCCTCGGGAACAACTCCCTGATGGCAGTCTACAGTGGGACTTTCTCCGGCATGAACCATCTGGAGGTGCTGGACCTCACACAGAACGCCTTCATGACGTTCAGGGCCGATTCTCTGCAGGAGCTGGAGAAGCTCGGCAACATCCGCATTCATCTCGGTAACAACCGCTACACTTGCTCCTGTGAAATCCGTGATTTTGTCACCTGGCTGAACGAATCAAGAGCTCAGCTAGATGTGGATGCTGTGAGATGTGCCTCACCAACAGCGTTGAACAACACCCGGCTGCGGGGGCTCAGTGTCCAGGCCATTGGGTGTGTTGTCCCAATCCAGGCGGAGGTGGCTGACCTCACCCTGCAGACATCCTATGTTTTCCTGGGGCTGGTGCTGGGGTTCGTGGGGATGGTCTTTCTGTTCGTGCTCTACCTGAATCGCAAAGGGATGAAGAAATGGATCACTGAAATGAGGGATGCCTGCAGAGACGTTCTGGAGGGATATCACTACCGCTATGAAATTGACTCTGACCCTCGGCTGGGTCACATCCCAGCAGACAACAGTGGCAGCAGGGCACAAGGGCATTTAAGATTAGCTCTGTCACAGCAGTTACCGAGTGACACATGTATTGTCCAGGATCCCACAGACATGCAGGTTAAAAAGGTGACCACGTCCCCTCCTGTGAAGTTATGATCGCTTAATGAAACTACAATGATTTGACATAATATGAGCTAGATCTAGTTATAAATAGTTAAGGACAGAACATGTTTAAATGTATTTTATGCTTTGGATCTCCTTGTACACAATGCAGTTGTGACACTTAATTCTCCCACAAAAGTGCCTTTGTGTTTTTGAGGCACTACAGCATTAAAACGACATTAATATTGTATGTGTGTAATGTTTGTTATACATTTTCTAAGAATATAATACATAAGCTACATTGAAATTACACTAGAAAAACTCAGTCAGTGTTTAAGTGTTCTTGTGTTTTTTGGCATTAATTCTTTATATATCTTGACATACTGCAGATGACTGCCAGAGTAGCATGGAAAGTGTGTGTTGACCTAAGAAACTGTAATCCATACACACACAGTAAATTTAAGAATAAGTCTTTATTAGATTTTCTATGCTTTAATATAAAAATATCAGTCCTTATATTCAATTACCTGTGTAACTTTAATTTGTGGTTTAGTCTTAATAGTGTGATCTGTATTACAGTAGTCAAAGGAATAGAAGAAGCCAGCGTATGATATGAAACCTGTATTTACATTAATTGGTAAATTAATTAGTAAATAAAACCACATTGATTTAAATGTCTTGTTCACGTCTTTTATTGTGACTGCAGCAAACCTGCTCCACACACCGTGCTACACAGATTCATTTTTTCCCCAGGTGAGGGGCCCCTGCTATTTCGATCCACACAGTGTGTGATTAAGTGTTTCCATTGAAGGAAAAATAGGGCAGAATGAAAGATATTTGGAAATACACCTGCTGGCTTTGCAGCTGTGCACCTCTGTCAGACCTACCTCCTGTGTGTGTGTGTGCGCACACACGCACTAACAGCATGCTGTTATTAAAGCTGCCACTTGTTACATTGTGAAGTGTATAATTAAGTGTACTTGTAGATAGAAACCTACAAAATAGAAATATATATATGCATTAAAAATGGAGAGCGTACTTATGCACAAGAAAAGAGGTTTAGTTAGTGGATTCAGGAAGAAAAAATACTCACCTGCCAAATACAATAAATTGAGCGATTTAAAAACCAATTCAAGTTCTGGTGAAATCTCTTTCCATCCTCTTTTCATCTTTATTACTCATGACAACAACATCAATGTACAGAAATAAAAAAATATGCAAATATACTTAAAAATCATAAAAGAAAATAAAGAAATAATTTAAAATTAAATTTTTTATATATATAAAATGTAAAAGTTTATATATATATAAAAACTTTAATTTCTTACAAGCTGTTATAGTTGTTTGCTTTTTGTTTTAATATCTCTTTCTTACTTTTCATTTTATCTGAATTACTCATGTCAGAGATTACAGCAACATCAATTTAAGAAAATGAGTTCAAATTAAATAAAATACTGCAAATATAAAAAAGACACATATAAAAATAAATAAATACAGAATAAATGCCAATGCTAGAGGATAACTAAATATACACAATAATTCCTACCCAGCTTTTATTGTTGTATAAAAAAGATATTTGTATGAAAATATTTTGCATTTCTTTTTGTTTTGAAATTCCTCTCCTTCTTTTTTTAATCTGTATTGCTCACAACAGAGATTACACCAACATGAAAATGCAAAGTAAAGAGAATATGAAGAGAAGCGTTCAGTGCCAATGGATAACTCAAGGTCAAATAAAACATGCGTGTTCACTTTGTTACAAACTGACATTTTGGAAAGCTCTTTATTTTGAAATCTCTTCCCTTCTTCTCTGCTCCTGGATTCGCCTCGCGTGACGTCACGCGCCACCTGTGGGTGGAAGCAGGTATGATGCGGGACTAGCTGTGTCCGCAGGTCAGAGACAAACACCGGAGCCTCCGCCGCACACCACCTCACCTTCACGTTCATTCTCCACGGGAAAAGACGACGCTTGTGTCGGAGCCGTGTCTGAGTTCGGCGCTTCTCCTTCAGGTGTGTGAAGCGTCCGGTTCTCTGGAAGTCGAGTCACCTGGAGGAAGAAAAAAAAAACCTGTGGGCGGCAAAGAGACGTTTTTGTTTTCTCCGGTTGAAACTCTGACACAGGAAAGTTTTCTCCCCGAGACTTCCGCGGTTTGCTCGCTGGACGACTTGTGTGCAGTGAAAGACAACCACCGCTGTTTCCTCTTATGCGGTAAGTTCATATCTGGTGAGATGACGTAAAAAAGGGTGAAAGCTGAACGAGGTTTGGTGTGAACAGTTTTCCTGCTCATTTCACTGGAGGCCAAACAAGCTTCTAAGGGCGCGACGAAGTGGGCCAACTGATTATCAGGCCAGCCATCAATCCAGCTGGTCTGGTTTATTTACATTCTGCTTTATTTACATTCTGAGGGTTTCATGGGAGCTTACTCTACTCTACTCAAGACTAAGTGTCTCCTCTATTCTCATTATACTATATTTCCTTTAATGCTGCAAAACTTGTGTGGAACAACAGGGGTAGGTTTACTAACTTTACACCTGGCTGTTATTTCTAGATCCTGTCTATGTGTCTGTCCCCCACCAGGTCCCAGGCACTCTGAGCCATGCCTGGCCACAGCACAGGGGCTCCCCAGGCGTCCCGCCACCACAAACCCCGCAGCTCCAACTCCAGCTCCAAGGCAGACAAGTACAGGCAGACCCGGACGATATCCAGGGAGAGCCAAGAGTCCTACAAAGATCCTCATGGGGAGCAACTACACGAGCAACACACCAAGCACTCCCGGTACCCAGAGAACAAGTATGGCCGCAGCAGGGGCCACCCACGAAACGGCACGGCCCGGGGCTCAGAGACTATAGGATTTATCCCTGGGTCAGCAGACAACACGCCTGCCACCAGACATACCTGTGGCTCCTGTGCCTCTATGGGCTGGAGCAGCTGCAAGGCTCTTATCTGCTGTGTACTAACCTGTGGATTTTATGGCAGCCGGGAGCCCTGCCTGCCTGTTAATGAGAGCTCCACAGACCATCCCCCTAAAGCAGGCAGCGAGCCTCACCCTCCTAATGGCATGGCCATTTGCAACCCCACCTGTGGCATTCCTCTGGAGTCCAGCAAAGCCACCAAAGCCTCCAAGTTACCCACAAGTGACAGCTTTCGCTACCCTGATGTGCGCATCGCAGGCCAGACTGTGAGGTATCAGGTTGCTGCCCCCAAACGGACCCGTGCGCCAGGCAAAGGGGAGAGCCACCGGCCGATCAGCAACACCAGCCTGTTATCCCGTGAGGACTATGACTTGGACGACCTGAGCGACACGGGCACAGACATTGACTCGCTCATCACCAAGAAGCTACTGGAACTCTACGCCCTGCACCAGATCGACCAGCTGGCCAAGTGCACCTCGGACTCGTCGTTCTCCCGCAAGACCAACGAGATCAGCGAGCTCATCTACAGCATCGCTCAGGATTACAACCTGGAGGAGCAGGAGGCCGAGTGCAAGCTGGTGCACGGAGTCATTCGCATCAGCACGCGCAAGGGCAAGAGGAACAAGAACCATCAGTCCACAGGGCAGCGTCCGAATGGGAGGAGCGACGGGACTCTGCCTGACAGTGGCAACGAGACCATGACCAACACCTTCATTAGCAGTGACTGTAAGAATATGATTTCTACTGTTTAAGCAATTATACCATGTGACACCCTGGTTAGTCTCCACCTTCAGGCTGCAGCCAACTAAATATTCAAATCACCTTACCTGACTTCATGTAATGACTCATTGCGTCTGTTTGAACGCAGCTGAGACTCCTTTGTTTGTAGTTGTAAACCCTGATATTCCCTGCATCTTGTCTGCAGTGACCTAATAACAATCAGTTCATTTAAGGCAAGCTGATACAGGCACCTGCTGTCTTCTCAAACATATTGCACAATAGCCTGGATGACCGGATTTATAGTGGAATCAGGGTGTATTTGTGTGTCAAAGCTTCATCTCGTTTGTTTGTTTTGTCTCCTGCTGTAGTTCCAGAGGTGAAGGTGTCAGAGCAGACGCCGTCGGACGAGCTGGCGAGGAAAATGAGACATTACAGCGGGAAGAGTGAGTACATGTGGGAGTTTACCCCATTGGAGGTGCAGAACCTCCTTCGTGTGGAGGAACATAAGCACGACTCAAGGATTAAGAGCTGAATCAGATCCAGAGTCATTCAGCACAGGAGTTGATTAGTGGTTATAAATATTGCACATCCGAATCTTAATTGTGTTTATTGGGCTCACAGAGCTACAGACTTTTGGTCATTGAGGCATAATTACCACCTTACCTACGTGTGGGGCTCAGTCTTTGCACTCCATTGTACCTGCTGCAGCTGCAGGCATTTTCTCACCTGCTCTCTGCTTTCCAGGAGCATACCACTCTTTAAGCATTGAAAGCCCCACATTCCTGTCCTTTTCTCTGCATATTACAATCCTACGCTCATTAGTTACCTCCTCCCCTCATCTGCCACCTTACACCAACCCATAAATCTGCCTCTTTCTTCTCTGCAGCTAAGCAGTCATGCTACACCACCTGCTAAAAGCTTGCAGATCAGGTCACATTAAATATATGCCACATAATGTCCCTCCTGGTTTATTATGTAATTTTAGCAAATAGCAGATAGATTTCTGTTGTTGTTCTGCAAAGAGGCTGCTAAAATGAAGGAGTGTCCAGTTACCTGTCTTTGAATGAGGGTACACCACATTGTGTTTCTACAACTTTCCCATCGCTGCCCAGGGATGCGTCAACTTCCTGGAATAAACTCCACATTTCAAATCTCACCTTGCTTGCACGAAATATAACTACGTACTGTTTTTACTATAAATCTGCTTTCACACATGCACTGAACTCCAGATAATAATCTGTGGATGGAACAGGAGATCCTTCAGAAGATTTATTGCGAGTGAGTGGGTGTGTTGATGACATTTCTAACAACAACAGCAACAGATGCTAAAATGTATTTTATATATATACATATATATATATGTATATGATATATCTTGGGATGGAAAGGTGTCATACACTGAAGATGCAGAAGAAGAAGCTTTTTGTGATGCCAGTGTAGATGTGATCTCTGCA